CCCTTGAACTTCTTTCTTACTCGGCTAGGGCACAACCTCATTTCTTGATCTTTCTGTTCTCCCTCTTGTCCGCTCTTCTGTTTTGAATGAGAGGAAGTGTGGATGGAGCATGAGTTAAGGTTCCTGCGAGGCGATGCGACCTTCCTAATCGACACTTATTTTAATTTATTTACTAGTATTATATTTATTTTTATTTTTTTAAGTTTTTTGTTATCACAACCCAACCCTATCACGAATTTATTCATCTTACATTTTGTTCCTATGTGTCAAGCCGCTCATTCACCTACACATTCTCATCTCAGCAATACTTAACTTTGTTTTATGCTTCTCTTTTAAAGGTCAACATTCTGCTCCATTGAGCATTGCAAGTCTCACAACCATCTTATAAAATTTTTCTTTCAGTTTGAGCTTGTTGCTTTTCTATCGCACTAGAGGCACGATGTGTTCTTTCACTTCAACCATTCAACTTTAATTGTACTAATAACATTCCCCATCTATATTACCATCACTTTGAACTATATACTCGATATATCTGAAATGATCACACCTTTTAATGATTTGATCACCTATAGTTACAACTCTGTCACTAGAGCTACTACTACTAAAATTACATTCCATGTATTCAATTTTAGATCTACTAAAACGATGGCCTTTAGAGTCTAAAGTAGACCTCTATAATTCATTTTTCTCCATAACTTTTTCTCTTGTCTTATCTACAAGAAGAATATCATTAGCGAAAGTAATACACTAAGTTACATCATCCTGTAATTGTCCGGTAAGAGCATCCTAAACTAAAACAAAAAGATATGTGCTTGAAGTTGATCCCTTATGTAATCCAACTGAAATAGGAAAATACTTGGTCAATGCTTCTGTTCTAACCGAAGTAACAACTTTAGTATTCATATATTTGATGACTTGAATATAAGTCATATAAACACATTTTTTCTCTAGAATTCTCCAAAGGACTTCTCTTGGAAGCTTATCATATGTTTTCTCTAAATTTGTAAAAATCATATGTAGATACTCCTTAATCTCTGTTTAATTCTCCATCAAAACCTCTCAATAAATGGATAGTTTCCAAAGTAGACCTACCGACATAAATCCAAATTAATTATGAGAAGTATTTGTATCACATCTTAATCTTTGTTTAACCATAATTTTAAAGTACGACAAATCAACTTAATTCTTCTATAATTTGCACATTTTTGTGCATCCGTTTTATTCTTAAAAAAGGCAACCAAAATACTCTTCCTTCACACTTCATAAATCTTTTTTCTTTTTAAATTAGTATTAAAGAGTTTAGTAAGCCAAGAAACTCCCAATTCTCTTAAATATTTCCACACTTCAATTGGAAAATCATCAGGTCATACTGATTTCCACACTTGGTTTTCTTTAAAGCCCCGTCTACTTGTTTTTTATTAATGTGACTGTAAAAGTAAAATATTTTATCGTTATTAACGTTATTAGAATCACTAAGCTTGATCATATTTTCAGAAACTTCATTGAAAAATTTATCAAAATGGCTCACCCACCTTTGTTGGATATCCTCCTCTAAGAAAAGCACTTTTAAATTTTCATCTTTAATATACTTAATTAAATCTTTATTTTTCTTTTGTCTTTGTTTGACGAGCTTATACATATATTTTTCACTCTATTTAATATTTAATTTGTTATAAAGATTGCTTGAAGCATAATTTTTAGCATCATAAATTTGATTGAATGTGATGAACACATGTTTATGTTGATTGCTTCTATGTGCGTTGTTAACTATGATGGAGCACCCCTTGATAGTATTAGTAAGGAACATTAATGTACCCGTGCATGTAAATGGAAAAGAATATTGATATTGATGTTTTAATTGATGCAAATTTTTATATGGTGTCTCCTATAATGGTTGTATAGACATGAAATGATATTGATATGATAATGATATACATCACTACGAATAATATCTTAAATGTTTATATTGAATTATAAAGAAGCTCAACTGACATGCATATTATTTTTTTTATTGTGTTACTTTTCTATAGAAGTATGAATATTCACTGACTTGTTTAGCTCATAGTTGTTTTAACTAACTTTTCAGCTTTAATTAAATTATTAAAAGATGAACGATAGATGAGAAAATTTTATAGAAGATGTGGACAACAATCAACGACATAATTTTATTTGTATCGCTTTAATTTAAATTATAGTGGCTCTTTCATCTATCAAATTGTAGATGAATGTAGAAAATTTAATTCACACCTTCCGATTGTCTGTATCTGCATTGGTTAAATCCAAGTTTTGGGTCAGGTCGTGACAAAAGTGATATTAGAGACAAAGTTTAAGATTAACTAATTGAATCTTGATGAAAGAGCTAGTAGGATAATTATAAGAAAGTTTTAAAAATTGAAATTAACTAAAAGAAATAATTTATACATTCAGGTATAGTGATACACCCAGAATTATAGAAGAGAATCCGATAAAAAATGAGGGAGTACAACCTCTATTAATGTGAACGTGAATGTCGTCACCCAAATGATGGTAGTAATGACTCGGTTAATTCAAGAGTCTAGATCGCAACCTATCGGAAGTGATACAATCGTTGTGGATAAGTTTTTGAAGATATTTCAAGATCCGTGTTCACCTTTGCTCCAGGGAATTGAAGACCCAATTGAAGCAGACAACTGGCTAATGAAGATAGAAAAGATACTAGATAACATAACTTGTTCGGATGAAATAAGAGTACCGTTGGCGACATTTATGCTGGATGGAGAAGCCGAAAGATGTTGGTGTGCGCGGCAGCTGCAGAACATATTAGGGGACATAACCAATACGATGATAAGTTGGGAGGAGTTTGTAGACCTTTTTAGAGAATGGTTAGTATCTTTATTCACTCGACGACAGATGCAGGACAATTTCATTAAGTTGAGGTAAGGAGAGATGACGGTCATGCAGTATGAAACAGAATTTACTGCACTATCAAGGTATGCGTCACAGTTGATTGCTACTGCAGAAGAAAAGTGCTACAAATTTCTTTTGTGATTAAATGATTTTATCAGACAACCCTTAGTACCCTTAGGAATGAATGAATATTTGATATTAGTGTAAAGAGCTAGAAAAGTGGAGATTGAATCTCAGCTTACTTAGAAGCGTAAAGAGATGCACAAGAAGAAGACTGCAGAAGAACACGAAGCTCATTCAGAAGGATTCAATGAGAAGTAGTCCAAGAATATTTCAAGTAGAGTTAATAGAGGGACGACTCAGGGTATTGGAGTCAGTGTACCACAAGCAGAAGATAACATAAAGGTGAATGTTTGATGGACTCTAACACTTGCTATTAGTTTTTTCAGCCTGGTCATATAGCAAGATATTATCCACCTCTTGGCCAGAAGAGCGCTGAAGATCAGAAATCTAGTGGATCTTCTTCACAGGAGACTGCAAGTGGGCAGAAAAAGATAGTCAATAGCTTCATTTCCTACCTAAGGTCAACCAAGACAACCGGTTCGACCTCGGGTATATTCTTTCACTCATAGTGAGCCTGAAGACCTATTGATGGTGGTGTGGTCTGATTCATTTGGTGTTTTCTTAGCATGCTTTCGTGTTTCAGTATCTAGGCGTTCTAAAGTACATTTGAGCCGCCTTGTGTCAAGTATTTTATCTTTATAGTGATTATTTATTATATTAATGAATGACCCTTAGTTACGTAGATAACAAATGTCGACCAATTTAATGAGAAATGACTCGAAGTTTGTTTCTAACTTTCGAGGATGAAATTTTTTTAAGTGGAAAAATTTATTTTAAACACCTTAGTTTTGGTCAATCTTCATTGTTCTCAAAATTGGTAAATTCTTGCGAGAACATCACAGAACCTAAAGAGTTCACAACACAATGTGAGACATTACATGACCATCCCGAGGCATTTTCAAACATCTATCCAAGTAAGTTCTAACACAACTTAACCATCCCGAAATAAGAGATTGTTGTCTCAAATCCAAATATGAAAATTAAAATTGAAACCATAAAAAGATTCTTGCACCTCACCTCATCAACCTCGTAATCAACAGGAGACAATGAGTTCGAGGGATTAGTTGCCTTCTCTGCCGCCACTCTTCAGCAGTGTCCCCATCGATTTCAAAATTTTAGTGGCACAATTATAATGTTTCCACCAACCTTCTTCACGAACTTTCATACAGCAGGGCGTCCTCCATTTTGTCTTCGACAGATCACTACAAAGCTTTCAATACATCACCATGAAACCTACTCCCACCAACCTCCAGCAACCTGCTGTCGTGCCCTAATGGAAATATCTTTTTTAATTATTTTTTTTATTTACTAGATTTATTACTTCCAATCAAACACAACTTAATTATTTAAGTTCGTTTAACTATCATACAAACAACTTCTAAGTATTATAAATACATTATTTACTACTATTTACTTACAATTCATTTAAAATAATCTAAATTTTAAATCCTTGCAACCAAACAGCCTTTTGCTTGGATTAATATCCTCTAGATTCTTTGCTATATTTGATCCCTAATGCTTTCAATGAAAATTTTACCTAGAAAAAACCCTTATTTGTTGATCCAGTTATTCTTTTAACTAGATGGAGGGGCTAAAAACTGTAAACTGAAAAATTTGCCATGCTCTTAGGTGTAGAAAAATTGACTAGTCTCTCTTCATGGCTTCATGTATGTAGATAAATTAGCGAGATGGATTATTTTCTCTTCATTCCAACTTGTATTTTTGAGAATGGAAAATTAAACGTAATTTAATTCTCAAAATACTAGAGAAATTAATTGCATGTTTCCTTTTTTTATATGTAAATTAAAAAAAATTTCGTTTTATCTGTCTCACATGACAACAATCTTTAACTCTGCTAACTAGTCTCCTTGCATTTAGGTTGGGGTACTTTATTGGCTTGTACCTACATGACCAAAAATTAGAAATTCACAATGTGTTGTAATGATGGTTTGTTAAAATTAAAGCAATTAGTAATCTTTTTTGTCCAGTAGGTCTATGCAGTGGGGTCTTCCTCTGTTAATGGAGTTTATCTGCTAGATTTCTTTCCAGACGGAAGCTCAGCTTGCAATGTAGATAACAGGTAACCAACTAAACTCTATTTTATTCAGTTTTCCCCCATCCTCCCTGATTTTTATATCAGCGATGAATATAGTATGTTTTACTTTATTGCTGTGTACAGGATACTTGTAAATATTCTGTTTGCAGTAATGGATATTAAAAAATAAAAATCTCTGACATAATCTACTGTGCATTGTTGATAATTCTGATATTCCATTTACAATAATATGACAAATCACACACCAATATACTGCTGCACGCACATCCTACATGCTTTTAGATCATCTAATAAACTTTTTGTCTTCATACTCTGTTTTACTTGGCAGTGATGCACCAAACAGTGTTTCGGTTGTAAGTAAAGGAGTTGGCAGAAACAGATTTATTCCTGTCTCAGATACTGTTCTAGCTTGTGCTGTCCATCCCCAAAATGGCACCATCATTGCTGGATCCAAGGTTTGATTAGTTTCCAAAATGATTTTTACAAATGTTATATATATGAAAAACTACTGCTAACTCTGAAGCTTACAGTACATTCACGTTGACTTTGCTTTGCCTTATGCTTACTTTTGTGGTTGGCTTCGTTTACTTTTTCTTAAATATTTTTTAAGGCCCAGTTTTAGGGACTGTATTATTCCAACGTTCACCCTTAGACCCTTCTTCCTTTGCTAAAACCTAAATTTCATAAGTGCGGCCTCATGTAGCTACCATAGCTAATCCACTTGTTCTTTTTTTTTCTTCAGTTTGTGGTCTACATGTGACTCTTAAGAATAAAATATTTTAGATGCTATGATCCCTCAAATATTGCTGTTTTACTGGAAAACCTACAGAGTTTTATTCTAAATATTTTTCTCTATTATTTGAAGTGCTTTATAATATGAAATTTACATGTGTGGTACGCAATTTTTATACTCACATATCCTACACCTTAAATTTCATATTTACATGCATAGCACTTTGATTCTTTAAACCAATGCATGAGGTGTATTTGACTTTTAAAAAGTGATAATATTGCTATTTTATATTATTAAAAATTTGGGTGTTATGTGTCTAAATATGAAAGTTTAGGTGTGAGATATGTAAATATATTAGACTTGTGTGCTATGTATGTGTAACAGGAAAAGTTGTTTTTTTTTATTCCTCAATTGAAAACATATGTTACATATTTATATACACTCCTATCTCTATAAATTAAGAATATTTCTATGATAGAACAGATCATCTAATTAGATCTCCTTTAGTTAGGTATCAAAAAATCAAGCTTCCTAATCTATAATAATTAGATTTAATACTTTCTATAACACTTTCCCTCGAGCCGGAGCAAATAAAAGTGACTCTAGCTTCATTACGAGTCTTTGTGGAGATATCCCTAGTTATTTTCTAGTTTTGACATGAGCTGTAGAAATCATATTTTTTTGAATCTTTTCATGAATAAAATGAGAATCTATTTCAATGTGTTTAGTTTGTTCATAGAAGGCGTGCCCTCTGAAAATTAACAACCCCTCTCTAAGAACTCTCTGCATTTTATTTTTAATTTATTTTTTTTATTTTGAGAAAGCTTTGGAGAGTCAAATTTTCAGAAGATAGATCAGATTGTAGATAAGGCACTAGCTAGAGATTTCACCCTCATTTAGCGAGGACATTTTGATATGGGGTTCGAGGTTTCTCGCAGGCATAAGCCCTTATGGTTACTTACCTCTCCAGATAATCGGAGAGCACTTTCGATTAAGGTTATTCATTAAAAATTGAAAATTGAAGATATAAAGTTAACAGACTTAGGATTTAAGTTGCATAATTCATCACTTGAAGCTTTAAGCAAATGGTGGGGGAATGATGATGAAACCCTATCAAAATCTCATGGTTTTGTCATCTTGGGTCGTGATCTCTGATCTACTTAGTCAGAGGAGGTAGTCGACCCAACATGATAGAACAATCTTTGTCGGCAGCAATGGGTTACATCGTCCAATGCATCCTTGTGGATTTAGGTTGGATATTTGTCTAAAGGGGCAAATTTACGTCGATCTTAACTAAAAAAAGGTTTTGTGTCAATCAATTATGCCCTTATGATTCATAAATTAAAGAATAGAAAGTCATTAAGGAGCAGAAGTGCTACGGCCGTGATCGCAATATAATAGTTTTATTTGACGGTAATCACCTGATCAGAGGGCTTTGGTTGTAACTGTTATTTTATGGACCACACAAGCATAGGACTCGACCAAGTTTTTACTGACATGTGATTGCTTTGATCGTGAATATAGATGTGCATTTGATATGACATTCAATTTTTGTAAGCTAAAGTCAATAAAAAAATTTGTCACCCTCGTCAAACAACTGCAAAAGACGGATGGATTTTACTTTTAGCTTTTAATTGATTAAATTTTAGTTACATATTAGTTGGTTAATTTGAAAAGCTTGATTTTAAATATTAACACTTCCGGTTGAAATCTTCAATCAACACGGTCATAATCGAGGAATTGAACATTCAAATTTTTTTTATTTGAAGTAGAAACATTTAATTTTGTTAGTTTAAGCTTTTCAAAGTATAAGTACTATCGACTTTTACTTTTATAGGTAGGAGGATCAAACTAGATGATTTGAACTTTATAAATTTTTATTTTAAAAGTTGAACATTTATTTCAAAATTACTAGACTCATCAACTTTAGTCCTTGCAAGGAGGGTGATCGGACTAGTTAAGTGAGACTTACGACCCCATCTTATAGAAAAGGCGGCTCAATTAACCCACACAACATTCTTGAATCTAGTATTGAACATCCAATGCATTGGTTGGAGCACATGCGGGTTTTTATTTTTATTTTTTGAAATTCTGTTATACAAGGCTTTGAGATTATGCATAGTTAAGTCATGAATATCTTAAAAATTCATAGCTTGAGAGTATTCAAATTGTTATTCATGTCTTAAAAGCACTTGCGTGAATTTCAGAACTTGGTATTTGACTTTAAGAACTAGCATTGAAGTTTAGGTGTGAACATTTTTTATAATTTAGAACTTAAAATATTTGAAGAAATATTATAATCTTAGATCTTAAATGGACCATCTACGTTAAAACTTTGATTTTTTTAATAACTTTCAAATATAATCAGGATAGAGACCTTAATTCGCGATTTATGCTTCTTTTAATTTTCATTTTTAAAGTCCAAATAATTCATTTTTTTAAGAAAATTTGCGAGTCCAAATTCACCTGATATTTTGGTTGTCTTCCAGCTTCAACCCCCATTTGGGAGCACGAGAGAATGTCAACCTTTCTAGTTGTCTCAAAAGACTCGTTGGTCAGTGGTTTGGGACAAAAAAAAACATTTAACCACGATCTTAAAAGATGTGACGAGCCTTCAATATATTTGTAGAAAATGTTAAGTAGCAAATCAATATTCCTTGTTTTAAAAATAATTTTCCGGTCAAGTTCATGATTTCCCCGCCTATCGGATACTGTGCTCTGCTCACCATTTGTGTTAGTGTTATACCTTTCGAGCTCGGACGATGACAGAATAAAATAACAGTACAATACATATTTTTTATACAATTTACAATGTAAAATGCAGATAAGGAAAACTTAATTTTGGATTTTATGGGATTGGGCTCATGGGACAAAGTTGTGCTCAGTTTGGGTTTGGGCAGACAACTGGCCTTCAGTGTAGGGATCTGCGCGGGTTTGTGCACAAAAAAGAATAGCAAAGAAGATTGGGTAGTGAAGTCGCAAAGTGATCATCGCTTGCGGCAGTGAGAGTCTCGACACAAGGAATATCCAATAGTAATTTACACCAGTCATGTGCTTTCGCAACGGAGAAAATAAAAGGGCTTTATGCTTGAAGGAAGAAGTTGAAGTTGTAGCTAATCTTAAAATTCACGTCGTGTCTGTGTGCAAATAGAAGCAAGGCGGAGAAGTAGCAAGTTGTAGCTAATTTTGGTTTCAACGCTCGAAGGAAGAAGTCGAAGGTGCGCCTTTAACAAAAATAACCAGCGAGATGGGGCTTTGGCTTCTAATAGAGAAGTATCAGTTGTCACTGTTTGTTGTGATATCGTCTAGTTTTTTCTTTTCTTGAGCACAAAAGGAGAGAGACAGGAATTTCAGAGGTCTCGTGCATCACAATTCGTTTTTGCTTTCCCACTAAGCATAGTTGTCACTATAAGCGACTGTGGGAATGCGGAAGTTGCGAGGGATCTTTGTATGTCACGATTCTATCGTGCCTTCCTAACCAACCGAGCGATCCCGTTGCTACTTTCATGTTACAAGTAGGGCAAGCGAGGAGTTGCCGGCAAAAGATAGGAAGTTTTGGTCCTTTGTATGCTGCAATTCCTTTGTTGCTTTCCATTGAAGGACATATTAAGGAATTTCGAAGATCTTCGTACCAAGCGATCCGGCTATTGCCTTTCAAAGGCTTTCTTCAGAGCAAAATGGAGGTTAAGAGGCGAAAGAGGAGAAAGATGGGAGTTCAGCTTCTGTCGTGCATGAGACTGAGAGACAAGGAGGGGCCATCGTAAAAGATGAAGGCTCCCTGTTGCGGTTTTCGATTTGAAAGAATCAAAGGTTGGGTTTCTGTATGTCGTTTATGAGTTGAAGCTCGAGAGCCTCCAATAGGGGCTTGGCTTTGTGAATTAAGTCGTGCAAATCGCAAAGTGGGAAAAGTTACTGGGAGGGCATGAGGCTTGCGAATTTCAAGCTAACTTAAAATTAATTAAGTTTAATTAAATTTAATTAACACATTTATAATTTTTAATTTTTATTGCGACGTCTACAAGACTGTGTTTAAAGCAATATGAACTATAGTTTGTTTATCGCACCATAGTTTTGTTGGAACTGTCATCTTAAAACCCATTTCGTACCAAGTGATCCCGTTGTTGCCTTTCAAAGGCTTACTTCAGAGCGAAATGGAGGTTGGGAGGTGAAAGAGGAGAAAGATGGGAGTTCAGCTGCTATCGTGCATGAGACCGAGAGACAAGGAGGGGCCATCGTAAAAGATGAAGGCTCCCTGTTGCGGTTTTCGATTCGACAGAACCAAAGTTTGGTTTTCGTATGTCGTTTATGAGATGAAGCCTGAGAGCCTCCAATAGGGACTTGGCTTTGTGAGTTAAGTCGTGCTAATCAAACAAGCGGGAAAAGTTATTTGGCGGGCATGAGGCTTGCGAATTTCAACTTCAAATTAATTAAGTTTAATTAAATTCAATTAGCACATTTATAATTTTTAATTATTATTGTGGCGTCTACAAAACTGTGTTTAAAGCAATATGAATTGTAGTTTGGTTATCGCGCCATAGTTTTGTTTGAACTGTCCTCTTAAAACCCATTTCGGTCGGGAATTAGGAAACCCACATCAATTTGCTCAAAGCTTATGTCGCGGCTCGATACTTAGATTCTGCATTGGGTTGTTACTTTACATTTTATTTTTTACTCTTTTATGAGACAAAATTACTATCAACAAAAATACAATATCCAGTAATG